AATATATTATACAAAACAGGGGTTATATCCACAGTCATTAATTCTCCATTTCTACACAAAACAACAATAAATTAAATTACATTATATGCAGATAGTTCTACTTACATTAAAATAATAAACTATATGTAACTTGTTCAGCTTTTTTTACTTTTCTACCGGACTCATGGTAGGTGTGTATTATTTGGTAGTCCAATATTTAAATTAACAATGAGTGATATGACCCAGAAGACAAGGGCTACAGAATTGATCTGCCACAGTGTCTATCCCATGTCTTCTCGGTTTCAATTATCCACCATGCACAGGGAACAAAGCTCAGACAGATTCCCAGGACCCAGCACAAAGGTCTGCAAATTCACAGCACCTCTAGTCTGTTTGAGGGGCACTTCACTGCTGTCCTGTAAGTAAGACACGCCACATTGGAGATTTTCAGATCTTGGAATCGAATAATAAATAGGACATCCTGTTTCAAAATCTGAAATCGTTTTCTCTTTTTTTAGCCATTTCTGCCCAATTACTATACACTATGACAGTTTTAGTCTAGCAAATAAAAAATAATTTGATAGTCTGTGTTGTGATTTACACTTAGTAAGTGGGCCCTTTATTCCTTGTGCATAGAAATTTAGGTCTTTAAACATGAAGCAAAGCAATGCAGCATTTTTGCTAACTCTTAATTCTGCTTGTTCAAATGTTGCCCCTAGGAATCATCTCACACCTGATACATCAAAGAGCTATTATAACATATGGATTTTTACTTCTGAGACTCGGCTCCCATTGAAACCCTTTCATTATGTTTGAAGTAGCTTAAAACATGAACATTAAAGAGCATCAGCTGGTTTAGAATACTTTGCCTTTGGTATGAATTAACATTAGTGGTTAATGAGGAATTTGAACAAACTCCAATCCAGCACCTTTTAAAGTTATTTTAATCCTGCAGTCTAGCTGTGGGATGTGCCTGCAAGAGACATTTGTGAAATGTGCACACTGAACGCCAAAGCAAGACTTGTTGGAGTATATGTACATCACAGGCTTGAATTGCCCCCGGGAGTGTGTGTGGTCAAGTTAGCATAAGAGTTCTGATTCAAAGCCAGTTACATTCTTACAACCAGCATCGCATTGCTATTTTTCCTTGAAGTACAGAGGCCTCCTCACAAGTTTCCACCTGCATGGCAAGATGCTGACACATCTTTGGAGCCACGCTGCATGTGGACAGTGGGGAGGGGGAGGAAGGAGCAGCAAAGATAGTGGCTGCTTGCAAAGCTGCCCTCTTTCATGTCTTTTGGAGGATCAAGCTTCTGTTCTTCTTGCTGGGTACATCCCAAGCTTCTTGCTGAGTCTGGCTGTTGAAGAGGGACTAAATTATTGGTTAATTCTTCAGTTCTGAGGACCAACTGCAAAAGAAGTTGGTCCCTCTGAACACCACCATCTCATTCTCTCTACTTCCACACTGTCCCTAAAACATATCCACGTCTTTAGACAGTTTCAGTTTTTTCCACTGAACAAGAAATTCAGCTCATTACCAGCTTCCTCATGAAGCCCTGAACCACAGGGTGTAACTAAATAAAATCCCTGAAACGTACATAGATCGAGAGGCCTAATTTTGGTTGGCATTTGCCTTTATGTCTGCATCCACTCAGGATCTGAGTATTTTGTGTCCCAAGAAACATAGGTACTTGTTCCTTCCAGTTTATAAAAACTCCCTTAATACCAGTGGCATGATATTCTATTTGGTCTCCTAAAGAGACTTCCACAAATAGCCAGTGTATACTCACAAGAAGGTAGTGATGCCACTGGAACATACTTTCTGAATCCGTCACTGTCTGTACGAGGTCTATACAATGGCCTTCATTTCACTGTTGACTGCCTATCTTACACTCCCCCAAAATCAGCCACAGCTAGAAGGAAAGTGGTACGTTTGGGGCAAAGAAAGCGCATATGCCTTGAGAATCAATGATTCTAGAAACATGTGAATATGGAGAAGTGGTGGCATTTCAAAGCAAAAGTCTTCGAATTTAAGGAGGAGGAGCAAAGGTGTTCTCATCCCTTTAAACATGGCTCCTGAAATGCTGCTCCCCTTCTTCCATGAAACATAGCTTCTGAAATGTAAAGAACTATCATGAGGCCTGTGGAACCATGTCTGTGGTTTAGGAAAGACAAGTCAATGGTTCTTCAGAGAAATGTGATGTTTACAGAGGCTTCCTCGTGGAACCTGTGGTCAGTCTGGAAGAAGAGATGGACTCTACAGAAAGTTCTTTCCTAATAGAAGTTATCATCTGGGGAAAGTTTTTACTTCTGAGTCGTCCCCCCCCCAATACTCCTCCCTAAAAAATCTAAGACAACAGTGACAATAAAACCTACATGTATGGAGTGCTGGGGGGGGCAAAAAAACTGGATTATTGTTTGGAGGGCAGGTCCCTTGTAGTACAGGCTTCCCTCTCTAGGTAAGTGTTCTAGAAACCCATCAGCATCAGTGTACCGGCTAGCATTGTTATGTGAGGCTGCGTTCAGCTTCAGTTAATTTTTTTTAATGGGGGGGTATATTCTTTCAACACTTTTACCCATTTCATGATGGATGATTTACAAGCATACCTGTCCACACTGCACTGAGCATTCAGCAGTTTTGACCAAAAACAGCATGACCCTCCCCATTCACTCGACCTCACTCGAGTGACTTTTTTTTGTTTTCCCGCATGAAAAAAGTCCTCAAAGGGAAACGTTTTGCCCATGTGGAAGAGAAGAAACAAAAAACGGCAGAAATATTAAAAGGCATCAAGATTGACGAGTTCAAAAACTGTTTTGGGCAGTGGAAAAAGCATCTTGATAGGTGTATTGCATCCAACGGAGAGTATGTTGAAGGTGACAAGTTTAAAGCATGTAAAAATAAATACATAATTTTTTATAAATAAATTCTGGGATTTGGGGGGGGGGTCCCCCCTCATATACTTCTTTCCAACACCAGAAAGCATCAACTCATTTTGACCTGGATCAATGTTTGACTAGATGAGAAAATACTGATAAAGTATCCCTTCTGAAATCTCAACACTCTGGATTTCAAGGTACAAGTGTATCAAATGAATTAAGAACAAAAACCCTATTTACCTAACTATATGGTATGTGGCTACTAGTAGAGTACCAATGACAAATTGTCCAAGATGTTGCTTAGCAGTTAGAAACATAAATCCCAAAATGTAATATTGAGAGGTCTTAACCCAGAGTAACCTTGGGTCAAACACCTATACTTTTAATGGATTTCCCCACTCAATGGAGATTTCAAAACTTAACAGAGTTTTGGTAACACTTATGAATATTTCAAGGAAGAAAGAACAGAAACTGACATGTAAATAAACAATCACTTTTAAGACCACTAGAATTGTTTCAAAATTGGCGTAGCATCTACATACCAGAAAGCTCTGGATTTATTCTACCATTTTTAAAAGACTACATTCTCACTTATCTTAAAGATCTTATCTAAAGATACAATATTTTAAGTTTAGAATTATTCCTTTTTCTGAAGCGGATATAGAAGGTATTTGCTCTAAAACTGTTATTTTGAATGAGCTGTTATATACATTCTAAGAAGGTTAGAAGTGTTTATGCCCCAAAACTGCAACCAGGTAGAGTACTTTCCCCCTGTAATAAGCACATAGACTTGAAGATGTAAATATTCTTTATAAGCACATGATAATGGAAAATGAATATCTCTAAAATATATAAAAAACATCATTGAAAAATAAAAATGAGAGAGAAATAAGCTCTCCAATTCAAGTAACTAAGACACAACCTTTCCATTCTGTTTGCACTTTGGGGAGTTCCGAGCTGTCAAAATCCTGGATTTTACAAGTTCTCTTCCTATGGTAGAATTTCTAAAATTTGATTCTTGCCTCCTTTTTCCATACTTTTTGAAATTCAGCATTTTTTCCTGTGCATCCAGTGTAGAGAACTACAACACAGTCGTTTCAGTTGGTTGCAAAATTAATTATTTTATCATGCCCTGCTATCTGCCTGCATCCTTTTTTATTTTTTAAAGAATAGAAGAGAAATTTGCCTTACACAGAAATAATCTGTTCATTTTTATTCAATTGGGAGCAGCAGAGGCAGACTCCTCCAGGGAAGGAAGCACGGCCCAGGGTCTAGCATGTGCGGCTTATAGACCCCTTACCTCCACCCTTACCTGCATGAACTATGACCTTTGTCACTACCAAGGGATTGTTCAAATTTCCCCGTTTTCCTCCTACATGTGGTCTTTTACAGAACAAAAATAATTTTAAGCTATTTTTCAGATGCTCAAAGTGTTATTGACTAAAGACCCTAGTGGCATAATTACAAGATAGTACACGAACCTGACAATTTCCATTCCTTCCTCCTGTCTACTTTCTCCACAAATTATAAATGAAAGTAGCAACCTGAGTTTAAATCTATGTGTAGAGTACTAGGTGGAAAGTAGATATCCAGTAAATACTTGTTCAGTTTTGTTCAGATTCATTATATTCACAGCCAACCCACTGTTACACGGTTATTGGTGGTTGACTACAAAGCTCTGTTGAGTTAACTGAAAGGGAACAAAGTAGATATTTAGATTCCTTCTTTCAGTCAAAATCAACACTGTGAATTTTGGTGCCTGTATACAACTTTTTGATTTATTATTTCTGTGCTTACTGTCAAGTTCTAACTCTCAATAAAGTTGTTCTTGAGGGAGAAAAAAAGGACGCCTCCCTTTATAATATCCTGCTTAATTCTAATAACTTTTCACTCTTGATCTTGAAACTCATCACTTGGCCAGAATTGGAAGCAATGTTGCCCCAAAATAACTTGCATTTAAAACATTTAAAATGCAAAACAGTTGAAAATTGATATATTCCTATAGAATTTGACATCTGAATACATTTCCAGATCTCTGTAATTGAAGCAGCAATTATCATTTGGCTATGACCAAGGAAAAGAGCAAAACAGAAAGAAAAAGAGAAGCATCTTTCAGCATTATTGGTTTGTTTGTACACTTTTAAAATATACGAGAAATTTAATCTTCAAAATGAAAAAATAGACACATTTTCTAATACCAAAATATAAGAATAAAATACTTAAAAATAAAATGTTAGTGTGAAATAAGGCTTTTTTTTACATCAAAAAAGGAAACACATTTTAGACTTGCTTTTCTTCTATAAACTGTCCTATCTCACTAATATTTACAACTTTCCAAAGTAGCATTTATGAGACACTGAAAGAGACAGGGAGGAAATCCTTTTTCTAGATACGAAGTCAAACTTGAATACAGACACAGGACAGAGCACATGCCTCAACCACAAATCTGTCCACCAGCTCTGGAGAAAGTAAAGATATATTTCCAACCTTGAGATTCTTCATTACATTTGCCTCTTATGGAGTGTTAAATTCTTTCCAAGAATATTCTACTTGTAAAAATGATTTTATTCTAGCTACAAAACAATTTCATTTAAGAAAACCACATTTTATATTCTTGAGTGAAATGCCCCCAAAAGTCATCAAGATATAGACATCAAATTTTAAAAACATAAATCTAATCATATGCCCTTGAACATTTAACAGAGTAATGCTGTATCATTATATTGTTTATCATGAGATGAAAGGACTGGAGGCAGGTGGTGATTAATAATAGTTCCTGAGCTTCTAAAGAAATTTTAAAATGAAATGACTAACTGCTTAAAAGAGTAAATTCTTCAAGAACGTCCCTTCTGTTTCATTGATGTCTTTTATCCCATCTATCTCTTTAAAGAATCTCACGTAGGGGGGGAGAAAGAAAGAAAAAGAGCTTCCTTTAAGCCACCGAAAAATGAGATCTGATGGAATCTTCCCGTAACTCTCGATGTTTTCCAACGTTACTTTCTTCTTGCTGGTTTCGCCTCTCAATGGTTATTCTGTATTTCTTCCTGGGTAAAGGGAAAGTGAATGTAGTAATAAAACTTGACTACAAAATACTATGGTTTCTCTTACAAAGCATGCCCTCAGGGGACATCTGGGTTTGGGTTGATAAATGAGAAGTGACAGAATATGAAACCCTGGTCAGAGATTAAAGTAGTGTGCCCTCAAGCGTTATGCCCTTATTCAAGGAGGAAAATTGGCATGCTTTCCCAAATGCCATGGAACAAGCCTTTCCCTTCTTCCCTAGGCGCTTGGGGGTCAGGTTTTGTCTATTCTGCCACAGAAGCACTCCCTGACTCCCAGGATATGCCCTAGATAAAGATCTGATTCCTGCGACCAAAGGAACAGGAATACAATTGTTCCCACAAAGGGTTGCATGCACCCAGTGTTACAATTCCATATAGAAATAAAGAAACTTTGCTCTAATGACTTATGAATAAGCCACACACTCAACCACCAAAGATTACAAAGGAATGAACCACTCTTAGTACCTCAAACACACATACATTATTACAATTTTACAAGTTTTGGGGCCTAACCGCAGTGGTAACTAAGCTCATGCATTCTCCAAATACTGAACACAAATCAGCCTGAGAGCCTGGGCTAATCAGAGCTCCCTCCTCCTCTTTATGAAGGTGGATCTTTATTTAGGCACCTATTTTTGAGTTGGAGGAAGGCTGAGGATGGAGAAGCTGGCTTCTCACTTTGCCCGGATTCCCTCTGCCCTTTTGCATTTGGTGGTGATAGGAATTCCTGTCAGAATATCTGTGATCAGAGCAGTATAATAGACACTGGAAACTCAGAAGCAGGGAGGATGGAATGGAGGAGACAGGTGAAGGATGAAAACTGCCTGCTGGGTATGATGTACACTATTTGGATGACAGGTAAACTAAAAGTCCAGATTTCATCACTATACAGTTCACCAATGTAACCAAAATCCCTTGTACCTCAAAGCTATTCAAATTTTTTAAAAAGAATATCTGTAATCAAAAGATAGCAGCGGCTCTGTCCCACAAGGGGATGCAACAAAAACCTGTGATCCCAATACCCAGTATGCTAGCCCACTGAACACAGAATCTGGAGTCACACCAAAACAATGGCTTATGTCTTTTAACCACCGTGCTTCTTGGGTAAAAGAAAGATGTGGACAAGTCACAAGGAGGATCACACAAAAACAGAGGCAGTATGGAAGAATGACTTTTAACTTGATAAACGATCCTCACCTGAAAAAGTAGAAGGCCATTAGCAAACCAGCTCCTAGTAAGGCCCCCACAACAATTCCTGTCACTGCTGATTCTTCTAGGCCACCTGCTTGAAAAAGAAGCATAGATAAGCAGGGTTCATTCTGAGAAATAGTTAGGAATGCCACAGGTTTTGTTCATTGCAAGATGTTTCTCAATTCCCCCCTTGAGGCAGGTTTTTCTTTCTTTTTAAGAAATATTGTCTAAGGGATCCTCTGTTTTTACTTTTTTGCCTGATGCCAAGCTTAAGAAGGATTTGCGAAAGTACTAGATAAACAAACACACTGCTAGGACAGTGAGCACAATGAGAATAGATTCAAGAATTCAAGAAAAATTGGAAACTGAGTATTCCAGATACAGTCACACTCTTTTGAGTTTATAGTCCAGGAAGACTACCAGAAGGACCATGTCACTGACCCAGAACTTTTTATTTTCACAGATGGATGGTGACACTTCAAAGTGCTAGAGGATTTGGTGAAATATTCATTGGGTCAATGTTCTGTTTTTAGATGTTCTCTCACCAAAGCCAGAGTTTCATGTCAAAATGTCCTATATAGCTTTGTGAAAATGTTAATAACAATTTGAAACAATCAAGTTCAGTAGCATCCCAGTTATATAAAAATGATAAATAGCTAGCTTGTATGGAAAGATTTTAGTATGCGGCCTTCAATGCATTATTTCAAAACAGTCCTATGAGTTGAGTACTTTTTTTTCATTTTACGTATGGAAACTGGGGCCTGAAAGGGTGAAGGGCCCCAAAACCAGCAAGTGACAAGGGTAGGATTTCAAATCCAGGCCCAATAACTCCAGAGACAGCGTTTTTAACACACTTTCTTCTTAATTATTTCTTCTCTCCATAATTATTGCATAGACCTAAATATCTCATAGTTTGAAAGATGCTACCAAAAGCATATTAGCATAAAATGACCAACTGGGCTGAAAGGTCAATATTCACATTGTTCTCCCTCACCAGCTTACAGAAGGGTCTCTCTAAAGCAAGGATTTCTATCAGTTTTCCTATCTGTAAGCTACTTATAAGAACACCCACTTGCTTCCCCCCATTTATGGTTATCCATAAGAAGTAAGTTTGACACTTATTTCCCAATGTGTGCGTTTCCAGGTGTTTACGGGATTTTATCTGTTTGGTTCTGAGGACCTGCAATATAACTCAGACTTTAAAAATCAAAATGGGACTTGCTACAAGAGATAAGTAAGTGAATGGCATTTCAAAATTGATATTTGGATTTTCCCTAGAAGTGGAAACCTCAAATAATTAAGAGAAGATCGTAAGAGAGGTAAGAATAGAAAGAAGCTTTCTACCATTTTGGAAGACAAAACTGGACAGGAAAAAAGACCGGGCAATCTCTGATAAAGGCAGAATGCCAGTGTATGAATTGTTCCCATGCATTTTACCATATCAGAAAAATAAATGTGAACTGCTGGAACGTAAGCTCCTGGAGGACATTTATGTCTTAAACCTGCTTTGCCCTGAGACGAGAGATGATGACATACAAAGCAAATTAAAGTCTGTGAACTTACATGATTTGCAAGGAGAGCTGTTTGTGTGCTCCACAATTCGAGTTTCATCTATTCTCAGTTTTAAAGGGCCCCAAGGATATTTGACGTTCGGTCGCATTTCAAAACGACCTTCTTTTCCAAAGTAATCACCAATAACCTATACAAAGGTAAAAAAAAAATTTTTTTTTTTAAATGAACTGAACGGCCAAAGAAGGCACAGAGCTCACGGCCAAATTGCACAGCCTGATCAAAACAAGCTGTCTCTGGGCACTTCATCAAATCACCTCCTCAAGGGCAGGAAGAGCACAGGGAAAGGGTGCGGAGCGCTCCCCTGTCATACACACTGTCTGTAGCGGTGTGTCCTGAGGACTTTGTAAGTTAAGATTTAAAGCTTCTGATGTTGCTCTCAAGGGGGCCATAAGTTAGCAAAGAGAACTGTACCCCCCTCCCATGGGAAGGAAAGTGGCCATGCGGGATCAGAAGACCAGGAGAAGTAGCGAGATAAAGCCACCAGGGCTGCCCACACTGAAGGCCTGGTCCTGCCAGTACTGCTGCTTAGTGGAAAAGGAGGAATTTTTCCATAAGAAAACAAGAATCTCCGAATTCATGGCTTTTCCTTTGCTCATTAGATAGGACACTGCCCCACCCATCAGCCCCAGAGCAGCCCACCCAGTTAGCCATTTGTAAGGCCCACATTACTTTCAGGGACACATGAGAGAGAGCAGGGTCCCCCGCATACCCAGGTTAAGGATATTACAGGTACCTGGCCTCACACCCCTTAGTTAACTTGGTATATAATAAAAGCGTTAAAGAGCGTCTTTGAGGAACTTCCCATTTCACCCTCTCTGGTTGGCAGACAGCTCCTTCTAGGGTTATAGTTTCCTCTCTGATGAAGTCACCCTAGTTCCATCCCCATTTCCTGGTTGAACTCTCTCTTTCAATTGGCTCCTCGGTTCCTGAAAAATCATTATTCTTTAATGGTTCATTTCCAGAGTCATCCCTCCGTTTCTGGTTAAAACAGCTATTTGATCAGGTCCCCGCCCTGACCTAGAAGTGCCTTCACGTCCAGGTTCTCACAATCTGGATTCCTTTCTCTTTTGCCTGGGCACATGCACATAACTCCAGAGTAGCTAGAGATATCTCCTTCCCTCTCTCCTCACCAAGGCCCAGCAGGCTGTCACAGGCTATGTCAGCCATAGTAAAAAAACTCTAGACCACCACCAAAAATGCAGTAATCGCTGATGTGTACTGAAAGTGTTCATTTACCAAGTGCTTTTTTACACACCCCTACCCTGCAACCTCACAATGGACCATGATAGACTGTCACTACCCACCTTTTCCAGAGGAATACAGAGGAGACCAGACCACTCAACGGGTAAAATATTACTGAGTAAACATAGCAAGGGTGACTCCTGCTGCCCTCCCATGAGGCCCAGGCATCTGTGTACAAAGAGGAAAACAGCAAATCCCAGATGCCAGGTCCCACAAAGGACTACCGGAGCAGTGATCATCAAGAAAATACAGAAAACATAGCATTCTTTGCTGAAACACTGCCTATTTGTATATTTGTATAATTTATGTATTTTTATATACATTTTACAATTTTAAATTTGTATGGTATTTTTCTAGGTTTCATTTTATCTGATTATCATAATAATAATCAGTGAGATTGTGAGATTGGCAGTGAATTTGTGAGACTGACAAAAAAGATATTATAATTTCCATGTAACAGCTGGGGAAACTGAGGCAGAGAGCTCACAATACTAGTAAGTACAGGGGACTCATCTTTTTCTCTTCATGAGGTTATCCTGGAACTACCTCATCTTTTGAAATATTAATGTGTTCAGTTTGCAACCATTCATCCAAAGAAAAAGCTCCAATTTTAAGGGAGGATACACTCAGTTTCACTATCCTCTCTCATCCAATGGTCCTCTTGTTTAAGACTAAGATGTGACTCTTGGTCACTTGAAAAGTAGGATTTCAGCCGGGCTCGGTGGCTCAGCCTGTAATCCCACACCTTTGGGAGGCTGAGGTGAGTGGATTGCCTGAGCCCACAGGCTCAAGACCCACCTGGGCAGTGAGACCTCATCTCTACAATAAATCAAAAAATCAGCTGGGCGTGGTGGTGCTTGCCTGTAATTCTGGCTACTTGGAAGGCTGAGGCGGAAGGATTGCCAGAGCCCAGCAGGTCGAGGCTGCGGTGACCGGGAGCGGCCACTGCACTCCAGTCTGGGCGATAGAGTGAGACTCCAACTCAAAAAAAAAAAAAGTAGAATTTCCCTGCTTTATAATAAACATGGAACCATTTCCTGAAGTCTTCCCTGATACCCTCAACCAACAGTGAGCTCTCCTCCCCTTAGAGACATCCAGGTTCTCAACTCATTTTTATTTGGAGGCTGCTTTAGGGACAGCTCTTTGGCCACCAGGACAAACACATTCCTCAGAGTCCCAACCAGCAGAAGGAGTAACTGGTGCAGAAGTCTCATGGGCTCACCTCCTGGGTGCCCGCTTCGATGTCAGTCATGGCGATCACAGAGAAATCCCCGTAGCGGTCTCCATTGGCATCGATGGACACCTGCCCGGCAATACCTACAGGACGAGGGGTGAAGAACTCAAAGTTGGTTATTTAAAATACCTCTCTCTGCCAAGAAAAACAAGAAAATGAATTGACAGAATTTTTTAAACAAACTCATGCCACAGAGAATCTCATCAGACTCTGAGCATTTTTGTTGGCATTTGGAAAGACATTGTAATTTCATCTGCGTCTGCATTCCTAAATTCTTAACATTTCTTCATTTAAAAATGAAAAGAAAAAGAAATAAATGATCTTTGGGGAATATGTTTGAAAAAAGATTAAGGCTGATCCTGAAAACAGAATGCCTATCCCAGAGTTTTGCATTAATATATTTTTAATTGCAGAATGAGAAGTGGAGGTGCGGTATATTCATAAATTTATCATTGGTTCACGTTATCATTGACATTATGAAAGAAAAATAATTCCAGGCCAGGAGGGCAGAAGACCTGCTTCATGGATGGTTGGGGTCAATAGCTAAAGACAAGCTATTCTTTATCCCAGTTGAAGTCTTCACTCATTGTTTATCTAAATGTTCTCTGGATGATTACCAGATACTTAATATGCCCCACGGATTATCCTATTGGATTCCATCTTAGAGCTGCAGCTGAGACAAAGATGAATCAGACACATTCTCTGCTCAAAAGAGGGGCGGCCTGCACTGGGGATTTAGCTTGTTCACACCAGAATCCAACTGCTTGCATTCAAATTCCAGTTTTTACATTTCCATAGCTTTGTGACCTTGGACAAGGCACTTAGTCCTCTGAACCACATTCTCCCCAACTGTCAAATGGGCACAATAGTACCTCCCTACCAAGAGGTTGTGGAGAAGAATAAATGAGGTAAAACAAGTAAAGCACTTGCAACCCACATTTAAGAGAAGTTAACTGTTTTCATCTACTGTTATTATTACTATCACTATTAGTGTTACTATCTATTTTATAATTACTTTTATTACAACTATGCTTGAAGTCCAATAGAGAACACCCAACCATGGCCACACCACTCAGAGGAGAAGCTCACACTTCAAGCTGGAGAATCAGGGATGACTTGGGAAAAGAGCAGGGATTTTACAGGAACATTGGAGGAAGTCTGTGATCTGGACAAGCAGCAATCAAGAAATGATTGTATTCTAGGCAGAAAGGCTGACCCAGTCATAATCACAAAGACACAGAGGCCCAAAAGGACCAGAGGAATTATGAGGCTTCTGGAGAAACCATCTATTTGTCTAGAGGAGTGACATGTAAGGCTGGAATGGGGTGGCCAGAAACCGGAGGGGCTTGGGTGCCCATCCACTTTGGCCAGCAATGGTGGCTTAGAACAGCTAATCAATAAAGCAAATATGCCCCATTGGCTGATATTAAATATGTCTATATTATAATTTTCATTAACTAAACAAGAGTATTCATTCATCAGCCACATTCTAATTAGCTAAAGCTGTTTCTTTCCTTTTCAACAGAGTTCAGTATAATTCTTAATTATTGTTTCTATTGATTTGGTTCTCTCTGGAAGTACTAACTCCTCTAGTAAAATGAATGTCTGGGAAAAAGGATCCCAAGGGAAAGTTCCATCCTCTAGTGTGGTTTGGAGAAGGCAGGTATTTGGGTTTACTGTCCTTTGGGTTGTGGTTTGAAGGCCCAATGATTTTTCCAGACTTCGGTCTCCTTTGCCGGAAACAGAATTGAGCTACCATTCATTTTGATTTTTTTGTCTTCTTAATATAGACTGGTTACAAAGGGTACACCTATCTTAAATCTGTGTACCCTTGACCACCTATAAAACTTTCATGTGAGAAATACTATTTTTAAAAATTTATATTTATCCAAACATATTAGCTATACAAAATCATTTGTCATTCTGTTGAGAGGTGTTTGTGACGGTATGTTCTGCTAAGTGTTTTGCGGAGTATCTTATAGGGATGAGGTGGCCCTTGTAATTCAAGACCTCATTACACCTTTAAGCTATTACAATCCTGCCAAGAAATAGGGTGATAATCCCCAGGGTGGCCGATTAGCAAAGCGAGACTTCACCTGAGAGTATCATATGTAAGGTGAGAGTGGCAGCAGAATTTTCCTGTACATAAGAAATGAGACTTTCCACCCTCATTTTTATTTGCCTGTAGTGGAGCACAAGGTCTGAGCCACAGTCCTGTTTACCTTGTCATTCTGACCTCTCACACAGAGGAAACTCAGCTTCTTCCCAGGCCATTTATTGAAGTTTTAAGAGTTGATCACAGGTTCCATGGCAATAAAATCCAAATTTGTCAAATCACATCCAGAGTATTTTTCCCTTAACAACTTAATGGTCACTTACAGTGACCATGAAAATTAAAATTGTTTTTAATTTTAGGAAGGTTAGGATTTCTCTTCACATAGATACCTTAGAGTTCTTTTTGGGTCTACCCTCAAATGGATGGTTGTTTAGCAAATAAAATGGGCTCTCCAAACAATTCAAGCCCAAAACGTACCTTGGCTTCAATTATCTTTACATTTTGACAAATGGGATTCTAATTTCAGACTGAACTACATGGTTGATTATTTCAGGACTCATTTCATATTGCCCTTGTAGACCTGGCTCTAGAATGGAGACACCAAGATGGCCGATGGAGAAATTGAGCCCATGCCCTGTCTCTAAACAAAATACATTCCAGCCATCTTGGGTACCTGCCCTTCCCTTAACAACCTCCCTCATTGGTGCCCTCCAGTATCCCCCACCTCTGGCTCCTGTCCCTCTGTCAGAAGACCAAGAACACATGACCACACCATGTCGTGAGTAATAGCTAAGAATGGGATGTGGCCGACCGAGGCTGTGTCCACACACGCCAGTTTCCCAGTGTATTGTGCAAAACTTCTGGGAAATTTGACTCTGTCCTAATATGCCCCCTGGATTATCCTGTTGGATTCCAGTTTTTCAGCTGAAGCAGTTAGAGGTAAAGCAAAATAATCTTGGAGGCCTACTTGCCCAAGTCCTACAATCTGTCTAAAGTTACAAGGGATGTCACTCTGGTTTTGAGTAAGACATGACATCCACTAAAAACACCAGGGAGAAATGAAATCCACCAGTTGCCACCACAGCCATTGCCCCAACAACTCTAACTGGAGCCTGACCTCTCCCTACTGTCCTGCCCTTTGTCATAACTGAAGACAGGGGTTGCCTTTAAGTCCCACTTTAAAAAAATATGTGCCCAAAATCTAGACTTGGCGTGCATGTTCCCATCATTGAAAAATGTCACTAGTTGTATTACAAATAAATATAGGAGCCGGGCTCGGTGGCTCAGCCTATGGGAGGCTGAGGTGAGCGGATTGCCTGAGCCCGCGGGTTCGAGACCCGCCTGGGCAGCAAGACCTCATCTCTACAATAAATCAAAAAATCAGCTGGGCGTGGTAGTGCATGCCTGTAATTCCAGCTACTCGGAAGGCTGAGGCGGAAGGATCGCCGGAGCCCAGCAGGTCGAGGCTGCGGTGGCCGGGAGCGGCCACTGCACTCCAGTCTGGGTGACAGAGTGAGACTCCAACTCAAAAAAAAAAAAAAAACCAAATAAATATAGGGATACCCCAATGCATTAAAGGGCTCAAAGGAGGAGTTAGCACAGTGCAAAACTGAAAAGGCCCTTGTCAGTCACCTGCTAGTCCTCCTACTGATAACCGCCTTATTGTACAGGCGAAGAAAGAGAAGCTCAGAGGATGAGGTTACTAGTCAGTGGCGAGGATGCAGTTTTCCTGATCCGTGGTTCAGGAATCTTACTCTATGCTCATGATCTTCAAATGATGCTCATCAGCATAGAGTTTATTTTCCATATAGCAGCCATGAGGACCTCTTTTAAAGACACAAAGCAGAGTTTTTAAAGTGCATTAGTAGTGCATTTTAAAATACTTCTCTGTTCTTAAGAAAACAACAACTAATATTCACTGTTTTAAAAGTAAAATAAAATTAGAGGGCTCAGCAGGACCTGCTAATAATCTCAAACCACCAGGCTTAACTGTAACAGCTAATGTGTTCTGAGTTCACAAAAGCCAACAACATAGCCTGAACAAATGAATGTACATCTGGGATTAATACTTCTTTTACAACTGGTCACAGAACTCTTCAAAAACTGGTTGCTCTGTTATGAATGAAGCTTGTGTTAAACTTAATTTTAAGAAGCATAGAGTTGTATAGTCAGGAGACAAGGCATTTCCTATTTGATGGGATTTTTTCAAAGCACTTTCACATGCATTATCTCATTTAATTTTCTCAACAAACCTATGAGGTGGATTGATCTTGATTTATCATCCTTACTTTACAGCTGGGAAACAGCAAGACACTGGAAAGGTCCCACAGCTGCAACGGAGAATAACAGAACCGGAGAAGAAGCAGCTCAATTGGCTGCAGTGCCATTGCCTTATAAACTGAATCCCCACCTTCAAATGTTCTGTTCCACGTCTGCTGAATAATTTTCCCTCCATCCTTCTTGCTGTAACCAGCTCTGAGTACTTCATGTAGAGCCAGGACATAGAGGAGGATGGCATCATGGAATCCTTCAACAAACATGTTAACCTGTAAAGGAAATCCCAGGAGGATGAGGCCAAACACCAAATGGTTCACCTGAGGAATAATATAAGCCATTAAAAGGGTTAACAAGTTAGACTTGAGGTCTACGGGCAACAGCAGAAGTCGACAGGAGGGTTGCTAACAAGAATCATGCCATGGTTTTCCTGGCGTGGCTTAGTGGGGAAAACCCATCCCCAGTTAAGGAAAGCAAACAAGATATTACAGAAGCCAAGAAAATGGTATCTGTTGGCCAGATCGAGTAAACCAGGTACATCTAACTTTGCTGACAGTCCCCTCTACACAGGTGCCCTCCTCCTCCTTAACATCTTCCTCTATCTCAAGCCTACAAGAGTCCAAGCTCCCTATTGAGATTTTCTCCACCTGCAACCAACCCCATGACCTCTCCATGCTCTGAACGTGAAACTCTCTAAAGAACAGCAGTGATCCGTTCACTCATATTCAACAATTATTGAATGCCTACTAGAGTGCTGGGGCTGAGGGTGCAAAGAAGAGTGGACACTGCAATTTCTGCCTGCCTGTCCAGTATTGTGTCCTCTCTTCCATTAGCAGTAATGTCTCAGGCTCTCTTTCCAGTTTGTGTTTTTAGTGTTTTGAGCGCATCTGACCACTACCTTTCCCCACCCATGCCAAGCTTCAAGGACAGGAATGGAAAACAGGTTTGGACTGTTGTTATATCCCAGTTGAGTCCTGACTCAAGCAAGATAAACTTGCCCTCAAGGAACAAAGTTTCATAAACATAAACTCTGGCCATGTAACTTGGGGAAGTCACTTGGTCTCTTTGAGTTTTGTTTCTTTTATCTATGTATTGACCGTAAGACTAGTAGTGGCTTCAGAGGTGCTTAAGTAGCATAAGATGCTTGGTATTGCTGGGCTCGGTGGCTCAGCCTGTAATCCCGCGCCTTTGGGAGGCTGAGGTGAGTGGA